GTCGGGGAAGACGTCTGCGAACTCTGCTAACAGTGCACTCACCTCAGCAGGAAGAGTCGCCTTCTCACCAACTGCTGCACTCCCTCCTTTCCCCTCCTCAGCTTCCACCTCCTCAAGGAAACCCGCGAAGATCCGTGCCGCACGCTTCACCAGCTGCCGCACACGAACAGCATTGATGATAGCTGTGGATGATGTGGCCCCATCACTCCACTGTGGCAGCTCCCGGAACTCCCCGTCTACCTTGACGCTGCAGCTTCCCTGAGCCCAATCGAACTGAGTACTAACCGTCCGTAGCCAATCCCTACCGAAGATGAAGTCATAACCGTCCAGCGTCGCAGAGTCGAAGTTACGCCTAACCGTGATTGGTCCTAGCACTACGCGCAACTTGCGGATGACAGGTCCTATGTGGAGAGGCGTCCCATCTACCATGCGAGCGTCCTTGAAGTTGACTGCCGAATCTGCCTCGAGATGGAGACGACTAACTAATGAAGACGAAACGAACGAGTGGCTAGCTCCGCTATCGATGAGAATCTTGACTGGAACACCGCGAAGCTTCCCTAGAAGCACGACTGGACGATCAACAGTGTCTACCTCGTTCGGCGTAGATGACTGCTCTAAGGCCGTCTCCTCTACGTTGGTAGACGTGGCGGGTTCGGAAGCGTCCACACCAGCTAGCGACCCGCTATCTACTGGCGGTTTCCGTTTCCCTGCTGCCGCTCCTTAAGCTGTGGGCAGTCCCGCTTCATGTGTCCCGGCTTTTTGCAGTAGTGACAGTTCCCCCTAATGTTAAAGTTTAGAAGAAAGAAGAGGATTGCACTAGCAAGAATGAGGATACAAATAGCAAACCCTAGAAGGGTTGTACTCGCTATAGAGCACCCCACTACAGGCTAGAGCATAAGATAACATTCTGACACACCCCCATAGCCAAAGTGGGGTGTAATCAGCAGAGTAAGCAAAGGAGTACAAGCTCAGGGTGGATCACAATGTCACCACACATTCTGAGCACAAGTTCAAGAAGCAATAGTTTAAGTTCACAATTATGAGCAAAGCTAGTGGTAGTCACAACGGGCAAGTGAGGAGGAGGAGAGAGAGTGAGAGGAAAGGAGATAGGAGGCGACGGCTGAAGCTGCAGACACACAGGCAACAGGAGGCAGACTGGCACAGCGGCTACCGGACGAAGTCCCCGGAATACAGGAGTAACAGGCCCCGCGGCTAAAGTAGCGGCAGACGAGCAACGGACCCACGGGCGGCTGGCACAGCTGGCTACGACTGGGCTACCGGACGAAGTCCCCGGAATACAGGTGCTGCTGGCGACACGACGGCAACCTCCATTCAGCTTCCCCAAACTATCCCACTCCCCCCTGGCACATACCCGCTGCTACACCGCTAGCTCCACTCCCCCTTCACCCCCCCTTAGTACCACTCCACCGGCTCCAACACGTCCACCCCCCCTCAGCGGCAGCTGCAGCACAGGGAGACGGAGGAGGAGGAGGAGCAGGGAACAGTACACAGTGGGTGCACCCCCATACCCCGCACCCCCAAACCCTAATACAGGAGAATGGGGAGTAGGAGGGGTGGGGCACGAGTAGAAGCGCTGGGGGACAGTAGGGAGGGCAGGGGCAGCAAGGAGCGGGCCCACCACGGGCCCTGGTAGGGTCGCCCGAACCGCGCGTAGGCGGCCTGAGCCGCGCGCGGGCCTGGCGCCGCCCGTACGGGCCGCGCGCGGGCCTGGCGCAGCCCGTACGGGTGGCGCGCGGGCCTGGCGCAGCCCGTACGGGTCGCGCGCGGGCCTGGCGCAGCCCGTACGGGTCGCGCGCTGGCCTGGCGCAGCCCGTACGGGTCGCGCGCTGCCTGTACGGGCCGCGCGCAGGCCACGACGGGCGACGGGGGGCGACGAACGGGTCCCCGTCGCCCGTCGCGGCGCCTCCCGAGGGCGACGCGACGGTTGACGGGGCCGAAGCCCGCCGCGCGCCTCGGGGCGCACAGCGGGCAGAAAACCGCCGCGCGCCTCGGGGCGCACGGCGGGAAGAAAACCGCCGCGCGCCTCGGGGCGCACGGCGGGAAGAAAACTGCCACACGCCACGGGGCGTGCGGCACCGAGTGTAGTGGTAGGAGTTGCAGCGGAAGCTAGGAGGTGGTAAGCCCACCCACAGGATCGATCCAAGGGGATCGACCTGCTCTGATAGCATGTTAAAGTTTAGAAGAAAGAAGAGGATTGCACTAGCAAGAATGAGGATACAAATAGCAAACCCTAGAAGGGTTGTACTCGCTATAGAGCACCCCACTACAGGCTAGAGCATAAGATAACATTCTGACACCTAAATCCCGTTTTCTGTGAGCCGTCACTGTTAACTGCACCAATCTCCATGGGCGATGGTCCGTCCCTCGATCGAGTGTCGGTGATCGGTTTGTATCCCCTATCGCGATCGTCACGACCCCGTCGGCTTCGTACTGCGTCGACGCGTTCTGCTGCTGCGACTACCGACTCGAAGGTGGACAATCCGTGAATCGCTATGATCTCCGCTATGTCCGGCTTCAACCCTTCGATGTAGCGATCGCGCATCTCTGCTTCCGTGATATCGTCTATCTCGTTGCAGATGCTGAAAAACCGTCGTGTGTACTCCTGGACGTTTCCTATCTGTCGGAAATGACGCAGACGCTTCCTAGCAGCTTCGGAGGCATTCACCAAGTCGAACCTACTTTTCAGCGCCGCTTCAAATCCTTCCCATGTTGTCGGAACCGTGGTAACACCCAAAGCTAAACTCCCTAAGCTCGAAGTTGCAGCTGCATGCCCCTCACCCTGTTGATGCCCGTCCAAATGAGCCCTTCTTACAGCAGTTTGCGTGAGTTGGCGCCACCACTCCAAGGCCGGGCCCCTCAGCAGCGTAACGGAGTACTCGATCCGGTGCTGCGCGTCCGCCTCTTGCACCCCGCTTGCGGCGAAGTAGTTGTTCAGCATGAAGATCCACGTCCGCACGTTCGCGTCGCGTTGACTTGGGTCGAACGGCTCGGGCTTCTGCGGCTTGAGCGCGCTTCGACGTTCCGGCAGCGCTTCCGCGCCAGTCGGCGTATTGGGTGCAGGAGATGGTGCGGCATGATCATGAGAAATTGACGCGAATTCACGAAGCTGTTGCATTTCAGCCCGTACCTGACGATTTTCCAGCGTCAACGTTTCGAGTTGGCGCATGAGTTGAGCAAGCGTGTCGCCCATGTCGTTGGAGACATTGGTCATGGTTTCATCCATGTCGGCTCGACGATTCCAAGTCTGCAAGTCGGCACCGCGGGACGATGACGTCGTAGTCTCGTCGTCGACGGTCGCTCGTTGGAAGTCGCTCCCCTCGAAGGCTCCTGATACCAAGTGTTAGGCCCCTTGGCCTAAATCCGCTAAAGATTAGCGGGGTCGACTAAGTCGAGGATGAAGCGCGGCGGAAGATTTTGGCGAAAGAACTATTGACGAAATAGGCGAAGATGTTACTGAGTAATTGAAGAGTTGAATGAGAATTGGTTGATATGAGAGAATACAAGCAAGGTTGATATAGCATGCAAGAGCAATGGTGGGAAAGTGGGTTGTGGGACTAGGAACTAGAAGGCAAAGAAATTAGAGTGCCACGTGGCACTAGGAAATCCAAGAAGATAAGGATAAGGATGGGGTTGGGAGTTACTGTGCAAAGTGAACAGTAAAACCCCCTGTAACAGCAGAACTTTCTAGGCCCAATTTGGCAGGCATAAAAAAAACAGTTTTCCGAATGTGCACTGCAGCTACAATCCGATTTCGATGCTGTTTCTCGAAATGTCCAGGCGGCATTTTTTGGGGGCCCGTTAGAAATGCCCATTGTGGCCATAATGGCCATGATGCCTGCCAAACAGGGCCCTAAAGTTGTTTTGATTAAGACTGCGACGCGCACACAGTGTACGTGTACTTTGTGTCCTGCCGCCGAGGGGGCGGCGGGTGGGACAACCAATGGGTGGCGGCGGGCGGATGTTTCGGTGCGCACCGAACACGCGCGAAAGGAACAAATGCCAAGTTGCAAACTTTCAACGGTCACCTCCATCGCTCGCCTCGCCCTCAGTCACGTTTTGTGTCCCCAGACAACCAACGAGACGCAACTTGTGTGTCAGTGCGGAAATCTATCGCTCCAGACTGGAGGTTGACATTGACGATTTGCTTGTCTGCTTCGGCTATGCTCCTCCTTCGAGAAGTTTTGCTTGAACTGAGCCACTCGTTATGGCCATCGCATCGCAGCAGTATGGGTTATCACGTGGGCTTGCGCGACGCTGATAAGCCAAATTAGGTCGCAGGGGGTGTTCCTATCTTCTCGTGTGAATCACTCCGATAAGTGGCTGATTATCCGTATCATAGAGGATGACATCAATCACAGCGTATGCGATAGCCGTAGCATGCGATGGCGTGGGACAGAAACAGCGTGCGATGCGGGTCGCATTGGCCAATGTGCACAGAGGTCGCGTCGGGATTAGGGTTACTAAGAATGCATACGATGCGCACAGGGGATTCTATTTCTGCGGCACCACCGGGTGGCATGCGCCTTTCGTCGCGTCGACAACGCGAAGGTTCCTCTCGGGTTCTCATTCTCGCGCTGGCGCTCGTTATAGCGTTAACGGAGCTTCTTACAGGGAGTACGGGAAGCGCCGTCGCGACAGGCTCAGGGGCGAAGGCTGGAGAGTACAGGAAGTTTCAGTATGCAGACCTTGCTAACGATGTAGGATCGATTTCTAATCTGATCGGATACGAAAGGGGCACTCCGGAGCGAGTTGCGACGGACGTGATCGCTCACGCGGCTAACTCTGATTTGAACGTTAACTCTGATCGTGACGCTAACGCTGATTCTGATCAAAACGCTGACTTTAATCTGACCGTTAGAACTGATGGGAACCGAATATTACTCAGTCACGCGAACAGCAGCTCTGGAGTCGACGGTCACGATTCAAGCAACAGCTTTAGCGGCCACGATGCGTTTACGAAAGCGAGTGTGTCGGTGAGAATGCTGGCGAGCGACGGCGGGACGAAGAGCGACGCTCGCAGGAGAACGGCGGCGGCTGGAAGAGGCTCGAGCAACGAGAAGAGCAAAGCGGTGCTGACGGTGGGATGCTTGTTCGCCCCTGACCTGCCCGGGGGAGTCGACATGCTGGCCGGTACGCTGCGCTGTGTCTACCTTTGAGGCGCGACAAAAATAGGTCGCGTCATGTGGTTGTCGGCCCCCCTCCTCGCCCTCTCGTGCCTGACAGTGCGTCTCCTCCTTCCTTCCGCCTTCCTCCCTCATTCCCTCTCCCTCCCCCTGCCTTCCTTCTTCCTCCTCCCCCTCTTCCCTCCTTTCCCTCTTCGGCTCCGCTCCTTTTTGTCCCCTCTCCCCTTTTCCCTTCCTCCGCTTCCCTTCTTCCCCGCCCAGCCTCTGTCATGGCGGTGGAGGAAATCAACGGCGATCCAAGCATCCTGCCAAACCACGTGCTGCATCTGACGGTACAAAACTACTCCGTTACCTCGCTCTCGAGCCAGCTCGCAGGTATTCCCCTCCCGTCACCTCCCCCCCCCTTTCGCCCACCGTCCCCTCTTCCCTACACCCTCCGCGCTCCGGTTTTCCCTTTTTCTCCCAACCCCAAGGCCCGCCTCCTGTCTTCCCTTCCCCTCCCCCATTCCTCTGCTCGTTTCTCCGCCGCTTCACTCTGCCGCCATTGCTGGAGCTCTCCCGTCCTTTCCCATCCTCCTCGCCTTTCCTCTTTCAACCTCTCCCGTCCACACCCCCTCGACAGCTTTCTCCCATTCCCTTTACCCTTGTTATTGGTTCCCCTTCATTTCCACGTGGCTTCATCTCCTGCTTCCACGTGGCAGCGTTTCAACTTCTCGAGAACCATCCGGTGGCTGTGATTGGCCCGCACACATCTGACCAGGCCGCCCGATTCAGCCCGATTGCCGCCGCAACCCAGGTAACACAACAGACAAACCGATGCCACCCAAATACATATTTCCAAGAATGAAAGAATCATAGTCTCAAGTTTGCCCGATGACCTATCAACCTTACTTTCTCACCACGTAATCCGTTGTCATTCTTTTGCTGGTCGCCTCTGAGAGCCCTTCACTTGTTCTGAGAACCCTTCACTTGTTCTGAGAACCCTTCACTTGTTCTGAGAACCCTTCACTTGTACTGAGAACCCTTACCCTACCCTTCACTTCACCTCAATGCCTTCTTCATGCCCCACTCCTTTCTTCCCCGTCCCCCCTCGTTCTGTCCCCCTTTCCGTCCAAACCCCCATCCTGTCCCGCTTACTCCCCCTCCCTCCCCATCAGGTGCCATTCATATCGCCATCGGCGGTGGACGTGCAGCTCACGCAGGTCGCTGTTCAAGTTTACTTTGAGATGATCCCCCCCTGCGTGCCCCCCCCATTCCCCATCAACCCTTTCCACCCCACCAGGTGCCATTCATGTCGGCATCGGCAACGGGCGTGCAGCTCACGGAGGGCGCCAACCGGCCCTACTTCATGCGCTCTTCTCTCCTTCCCTTTGTTCGACCTCTTTCCCCCCCTTCCTGTGCCCCTCCCATCCGCCCACCAGGTGCCATTCATATCGGCATCAGCAACGGGCGTGCAGCTCACGCAGGCCGCCAGCCGCCCCTACTTCATGCGCTCTTCTCTCCTTCCCTTTGTTCGACCTCTTTCCCCCCCTTCCCGTGCCCCTCCCATCCGCCCACCAGGTGCCATTCATATCGGCATCAGCAACGGGCGTGCAGCTCACGCAGGCCGCCAGCCGCCCCTACTTCATGCGCTCTTCTCTCCTTCCCTTTGTTCGACCTCTTTCCCCCCCTTCCCGTGCCCCTCCCATCCGCCCACCAGGTGCCATTCATGTCGGCATCGGCAACGGGCGTGCAGCTCACGGAGGGCGCCAACCGGCCCTACTTCATGCGCTCTTCTCTCCTTCCCTTTGTTCGACCTCTTTCCCCCCCTTCCCGTGCCCCTCCCATCCGCCCACCAGGTGCCATTCATGTCGGCATCGGCAACGGGCGTGCAGCTCACGGAGGGCGCCAACCGGCCCTACTTCATGCGCTCTTCTCTCCTTCCCTTTGTTCGACCTCTTTCCCCCCCTTCCCGTGCCCCTCCCATCCGCCCACCAGGTGCCATTCATGTCGGCATCGGCAACGGGCGTGCAGCTCACGCAGGGCGGCAGCCGGCCCTACTTCATGCGCTCTTCTCCCGTCCTTCCCGCCCTCTGCAACCCCTCGTGTGCCACTATCATGTCCCCACACACCAGGTGCCGTTCATATCGGCATCAGCAACGGGCGTGCAGCTCACGCAGGGCGCCAGCCGGCCCTACTTCATGCGCACCGTGCCCAGCGACGTGCAGATGGCCGCCATGGCAGGTGGGGATGGGGCCGCGCAGGTTCAGCTACAGGTAGGTAGGTAGCAGGCGCACACCTGTGTTCTTCATGCGCACCGTGCCCAGCGACGGCGTGCAGATGGCCGCCATGGCAGGTGGGGATGGGGCCGCGCAGGTTCAGCTACAGGTAGGTAGGTAGCAGGCGCACACCTGTGTTCTTCATGTGCACCGTGCCCAGCGACGGCGTGCAGATGGCCGCCATGGCAGGTGGGGATGGGGCCGCGCAGGTTCAGCTACAGGTAGGTAGGTAGCAGGCGCACACCTGTGTTCTTCATGCGCACCGTGCCCAGCGACGGCGTGCAGATGGCCGCCATGGCAGGTACAGGCTTCATTCCATGCTAGCATGGGTCGAGCAGCGCAGGTGCTGGTGCAGGTACAGGTAGCAGCAGCAGCACACGTGTGTTCTTCGTGCGCACCTCTCCCAGCGACGGCGTGCAGATGGCCGCCATGGCAGGTGTGGTGTGGATATTATTCTTTCGTTCCGTGGAATGGATGGATCATGGATGGGGCAGCACAGGGGTAGATAGGTTATTTTTGAGACGTCTCAAAAACCCGAAACCCTAAGCTCTACTCGTGGCTTCATTCGTTTCGTGGAATGGATGGACCATGGATGGACCATGGATGGACCATGGATAGGGCAGCACAGGGCACGTGCGTTCAGGGGACATAACAGGTGGGTACATGCAACTCACCCCCGTCCGTCACCTCTCGGCTCAACCAATCAGATCTGATGAGGAGCTACAATTGGAGGCAGGTGGCGCTCATGTTCATCCCATCTACAGCGATGGCTGCTGGGACTATTCAGCCGACCATTGAGTCGAGTCGAGTCGAAACCAGAGGCCCCTTCCCTTCCCTTCACCTCTCGTCCATCCATCTAGTCTACCACTCAGTGAAGATAGCACTACAAGTGGAGACGTGTGGCGCTCATCTGCAGCGACGATCAATGGAACCGTTGAGTGGAGTCGGATCGGAACCTTAGACAGACCCACTGTCTTTCTGCTGAAGTTCAGATCCGCAGTCGGAACCCAAGTCCCGTTCGTTCCTCTACTCCTCCCTCCACTTGCTGTCCCTCTTGTCCTCCCTGCAGAGCTGATCCGGCACAACAAGTGGCAGCAGGTGGTGCTCATCTACAGCGACGACCGAACCGATGGGACTATTATTGAGTCGAGTGCAAACCAAAGCCCCTGCCCAACCCCCCCTCCCCCCCCTCTTCCTCGTCTCAACCAATCAGAGCTGATCAGGCACTACAAGTGGCAGCAGGTGGCGCTCATCTACAGTGACGACCGCTCGCTGGGATGGGGCTACTGAGTTGACTCCAATCCAAACCCAAGACCCCGTTCCTCTCCTCTCCTCACCCACACCAGAGCTGATCAGGCACTACAAGTGGCAGCAGGTGGCGCTCATCTACAGTGACGACCGCTTCGGCCGCAACGGGGTGACTACACTCGCCTTACAGCTGCTCTCCATCCGCGTGAGTCAGTCACATACACCATACGAGTAAGGATGTGGCAGTGCGGGTGGCCATCCATTCCCTGTCAGCCACATACGAGGCCATTCACGGCCACGTATCCTCCCTGCTGTGCTGTGCTGTGTTGTGCGGTGCTGTGCGGTGCTCCACTTGCCCCAACCCTCCCCCCTCTCTTTCAACAGGCGGAGGCGGATGTGGCGGTGCGGGTGGCCATCCCGCTGTCAGCCACGAACGAGGCCATTCACGACCACGTATCCTCCCTCCCTGCTGTGCTGTGCTGTGCTGTGTTGTGCGGAGCTGTGCGGTGCTCCACTTGCCCTTGCCCCAACCCTCCCCCCTCTCTTTCAACAGGCAGAGGCGGATGTGGCAGTGCGAGTGGCCATCCCGCTGACAGCCACGAACGAGGCCATTCACGACTACATGTCTGCTTTGAAGTCGCTAGACGTGGCAGTCTATGTGCTTCACGCCTCCCCGATTATCTTCTCTGCCGTCGTTGAAGCAGGTGGGTGCCGGCGTGCCGCATAGCAGAATGTAGGCAGGCAGTGCCTCTAAAGAAAAGAAGGAAAAATCTGCTGCCGCTAGACGTGGCGGTCTATGTGCTTCACGCCTCCCCGATTATCTTCTCTGCCGTCGTTGAAGCAGCAGGTGAGTTATGTGGATTGAAGAGCGGCTGCTGCCGCCGCTACGGGTGCCAGTCTTCTCTGCGTGCTGCATGCCTGCCAGTCTGCGTGCTGCATGCCTGCCAGTCTGCGTGCTGCATGTCTGCCAGTCTGCGTGCTGCATGCCTGCCACTCTGCGTGCTGCATGCCTGCCAGTCTGCGTGCTGCATGCCTGCCAGTCTGCGTGCTGCATGCCTGCCAGTCTGCGTGCTGCATGCCTGCCAGTCTGCGTGCTGCATGCCTGTCAGTCTGCGTGCTGCATGCCTGCCAGTCTGCGTGCTGCATGTCTGCCAGTCTGCGTGCTGTATGCCTGCCAGTCTGCGTGCTGCATGCCTGCCAGTCTGCGTGCTGCATGCCTGCCAGTCTGCGTGCTGCATGTCTGCCAGTCTGCGTGCTGCATGTCTGCCAGTCTGCGTGCTGCATGCCTGCCAGTCTGCGTGCTGTATGCCTGCCAGTCTGCGTGCTGTATGCCTGCCAGTCTGCGTGCTGCATGCCTGCCAGTCTGCGTGCTGCATGCCTGCCAGTCTGCGTGCTGCATGCCTGCCAGTCTGCGTGCTGCATGCCTGCCAGTCTGCGTGTTGTATGCCTGCCAGTCTGCGTGCTGCATGCCTGCCAGTCTGCGTGCTGCATGCCTGCCAGT